CATTCTACACGCCGTATTCTCGTCTTAGGCACCAATTCTATATATTCTGCATCGTAACTCGCTCGGAAAATGACAGGGAAGCGCAAGAATGACGAGAGTACACCATCTCAGGAGTTGAGCGGAAGGGAGAAGAAGAAACAGAAGACCGCAGCGGCACGCACTATTGCAGTTCAACCAAGTGGACCGTCAACATCTGCAACACCTCAGCCTCAAACTGCCAATGCGGTTGCAGGACCCTCGCGTGTGCGTTTTGAGGGTGAGCCTAGCATCATCTTGAGGAGGGGCTGCTTCGACTCATTTGGATGTAGAAAAGCAGCTACCGGGGTCTTTGGATGTTGAGCGATTTGCAGAAGTAAGTTCTATCGCAGCCTATCTCCTTCGATTCTCGTTTGACATGGAAATCAGGCTCGGGCTTTCGAAATCAATGCCATGCATACCGCCATGCAAACCGCGAGGTACATCCATATTCGCACATACCTCCTGACTATGTCTTGACGTTCAGCTCCAGACAGAGTGCTTCACACCGAGCTTGGCAAGAGCTTCCACGGCACCTGCGACGAAGAGCGGCCAGTCATGACGTCCGTCGCGTGCCTCTACGATTACGAGACAAAGCTAGAGCGGAGGTATGTGATGCCTCGCATTGGAGACCCGCTGTCGTTCATGGCTCCTCAGATGGATCCTGCAAAGAAGAAAGCTCTTGGGCGTTCACATCCCCAGCGTGGAAAGAGCAAGACGATCAAGCGAACGAAGCAGCTCTTGCATCGCCAGAGTGCGTATCGCCGTCACTGACCGTATCAATACTTGCTCATGTTGCCATTCATTAGAGGATAAGGTGTGGCTGGAGACTCATATATGGCACGCTAAGCGTATGAAGATGGAGAATATGTGGGGATACAGACTTGTGAGCCTCGTGATGTAGACTTAAAACGCGTTGATGTTTCTGACTCTTTTGATCTGCAGGCAGTACAACCCACAGAGAAGTCCTTCAGACCGTCGCATCGCGCGTCCGTGCATGGATCTATTCTTCACGATGCGTCTTACTCTGGCTTCCTCCAATTATGCGGACCTGAGGAGATACTACGATCTACCCTCGGACGCTGCTGCGATCCTCAAGGTCCAAATCCGAGTACCGTAAGGTATGGTCTTCAGAGGGTTGAGTTTAACAGCCACTAACCGACCTCGAACTAGGTTTATGACAGGATCGCGAACATGCGATACTCACATTTACAAATCGGGGGCGTATCCCTTTGACCTTATCGCACCAGTCACCGTGATCTGGCAATCGCAAGATGATACGATGTGGGCCAAGCTTGGTCCCAGCAGTCTGCATCGCGCGACGAAGCAGAACAAACATCGGGAAGACGATCTCAAGGTCAAGGCTACACCGACAAGGCGGGTCTGGGTTCGCGTGCACCCGTCCGTCTATGAGCATGTCTATGAAGCTCTTCAAACATCCGCGTCGTATGCTCTTGAAGCGGCAAAGAGAGCCAATGGCCCAGATGCGAAAGTTCATCTTGTGGTTGATATTACAGACCTGCGAGAACGCCTCAATATATTCGAGATTATGGGGCCGAAGTCTAGTCAGGTCATCAAGGGTGCTTTGAAGCCAGTTTTCAACCCACCGAGGGAGGATTTCACTAAGGTATGTACTCAGATAAGCCGATCTTCGCAGTTGATGTTCATCTTCCCCAGTTCTGGCAAGCTTTGGGCAACTTGCAGACAACAGCATCCGTTCCCAGGGATATGGTCATTGGTTTTACCGTCAACGATCCAAGATTAACGTGCGTTATTCTATAATTTCCAGTGTAGAACATCCTCGTCCTGACATTTGTTCAGATTTCCTCCAAAGAACGCGCACATTCAGAGCAATGGCAGCCATCCCGCGTCATCTCCTGTGGCCAACGTATTTCCCAAATCAATCCTCGCGCTCAGCGAGATCTGGGATGAAGATGTCAGAGAGCAACTGAGGAAGCCGAAGTTCAAGAAGAAAGACCTCGATCAGAGGCGTTCTGAGGTCAGTGGTACTCACTCTGAGATCAGCGACGCATCTCATGTGTCGTTTAGAACGTAGTCCCTGGGACACCACTCCAAGCCAAGCAAACCGACGACCGTATTCCTGTCATGCTGATCCAGCGTTCGTTGGAAACACCGCCCAACAGCTCTGAGTCTAGTACGAGCTCCAACGATTTTGCCTCGCCGTCTCTACACGGATGGACGCTCATCGTACCCTCAGGATGGTCCATGCCTTTCTTCTCTTCCCTCACATACACCGGAACTCGTGTCGGCGGCCAGCGTGAACGCCAAACGCAGTCGTTCGAAGCGGGGTTGGCGTACTTCCCTCGTGATTTTCCATGTACGAAATCGTATAACACGTACGCAGAGCAGAAGGCGGTAGAAGACCGGTCCCGTTGGGACAGAAAGCCACCTGCGAAACGGCCCAATTACGAGGTGCTAGGGACTCGGAGTCCGTGGCAGCCAGATTGGTCTGTTGTACTTGGATGTCAGCCGGTGCAAGGCGAAGACCTCGTTGAGACGCAGCGGGCGGAGCAGTACGTGGTTGTGCAACCGTGGCTTCTCCGCGGACGAGACATCCACAAGGTGTTGGAAGGTGCGGCAACAATGTTCAACAATGCTGCCGGTCTGCACGATCAGATCAACCAGCTGCGGAAGAAGAGGAAGCTGGATCCCTTAGATGCAGTCCATCGCCCGCAAGACTTGTGGAAGGGTGCGCTGGTGAGAGTGAAGCTGAGATTGGTCGGGAGGGGGTCTCCGGATGATTTGGCAGTCATCTATCGGGTGGATGACGAAGAGCACGATGAGTGGACCGCGATGTTCAAGGAAGAAGCTATGCAGCTGGACGAAGAGCAGAATGAGGTAAGGGCTGTCTTCCTCGTCAAAAGTCTCTTTCGGTTCTGAAGGATCAGTTGCAGCTGGCCACTCGAAAGGCACCAACGGCGGATATCATTGGCTACATTACGACCGGCAACTTCTCTTTGGCTCTTGGAGAGGCGTACGCTATTGGAGCTATCCCGCTCTCTCACTTTTTTGCACTGCGCGAGCAAGCGACAAGGTATGCTTTCTTCGCCTGGCCCATCGCTGCGCTGACACGTGCCATAGGATGGGCAAGTACCCGCACCCTTTGGTCAAAGTTCGCGACCGCCACGGTACGGTGTACAGAGCTGCTCATCTGCAAGTTCTGGAATGATTCTTCACGACTATCAGACGAATCTTGGAATAAATCATGGCTTTAGGTTGCCAGACAGGCGAGCCTGCATGATGGTTGTATAATATGCGTGAATGAATGACCAGTTTACAAAATGCGAAGTCCATGGTAAACTCGGATATGCTACAGGGCTGCAGTGAGGGGAAAGCATGCGAAAGGCAGCGAAAAGCTCGGAAGAAGATCAAGTGATCTTCCACAATTCCACGGCCTGCATAACGAGCCTTGCAATATCTGCTCTTGCTTGCTTTTTCGCACTGTCCGTGATGCCTTCCAGCGCGTCGATCTCTGCCGGTGTCGTATGAAGCGGATCGAACTCGAGGACATGGCCGTCCTTCGTAGGCACGGCCACCATCGCCGCAGCAGACGGCAGCGATAGAGTTGGTCTTGTGGGTGTCTTCGGGTTTTCGTGAGTTTCTTCTGGGGACTTGATCCTGTTCGGAACGAAGCCGCCGTTCGTTGTGTGCGAATTCGACCGTGAATGCGACGACTCGACGCGCCCCGCTTGCGAGTTCGTCCGCGTATGCGTCTGCGAGCCTGATGCTGACCGAACGATGATGCTGTTTGTCCTCTGGTGTCCTCGATGTGCACCTTTCCCATCGCCATTGGTAGTGTTTTCTGCACTTAGCCAGCCAGCAAAACCCATATTGAGCTGATATGGATTTGCCAGAGGGGAACCGTTGACACTGAGCATGCTCTCGTCTTTGCGTGGCCAGCGAGGATGCGACAAGGAGGAGATAGCAGGATTAAATGAGGACGATGATGGGACACGAGAAGGCGGTTGTGTCTTATGTGGTGAAGTCGGTTTGGAAGGTGATCCCGGTCGAGAGCCAGGTCCGAGCTTCGGAAAGAGTATGCCTTTGTTCGGGGCTGCTTTGTGTGGACTTGGAGACGCCATGCGCTGTGGCATTGTCGATACGATGCGAGCCTGCATCTTGTGTAAGGAGAAGTCGCAGTGTCATTTCCTACGAGCAGACTTACAGTCGATGGTGTCTTGGTGATAGGCAACCGTGACCGACCTGCCGTGCCGGGTGCTTGGAAGGACATGGGTTTCTTCTTCGGAGTCGCCATTATCATACGAGCTGTAACAATTTGGTGAGAAATACGAAGGTCGTATGACCAGGCAACCACTGCGCACCACTCTTTGCTGCACCCTTCGATCCCTCCGCCTCTTCCATCGCCTTAGCCTCTGCCTCTTGGCTCTCCACCCACTTCCTCTTCCTCGTCGACTTGTCAATCGTCGCCGCATCCCCGCCTAGCCGTTCCCTTTGCACACCCTTCAAGCACTCCTGGACATCGCCATTGTACTTCGCGAACTCGCGCATTGTGATGTCCCGCACGAGACGTGGAACGCGCGAAATCAAGCCTTCCTGGTGCATGCGGAAGTTCTCGAGGGCGTCGTTGAGCCATGACTCAAACTGCCGAGTACGGTGTGCAACTTATGAAAGGTAGCTAAAAGTCAGTTCGCAATCAGCATCGGACGCGACGTGTTGTGAACATACCTTCCAGATCAAGATTCGCGAGTAGCTGGGTCTTCTCCTCTACGGTGTACTTCCTGAGTGGCGGGTGGCTAGTGGATGCCATCGCAGAGGACCGTTTGTGGATGCGAAGTATAAGTCAGCAGTGCAAGGGCTCTGTTGGCCGGTGAAAGGAACGGTTTTCCCTGCACAAAGCAGTCGTTTCGTTCAACTGGATGCCTTGCGACTCGCGAGCAGCATTCAACGCGTTTACGCCTCTCCACGTGATGAACGCGGTCACGAGGAAGCTTATGTCAGAGCGTGGCGTGGTGGTCTAGTGGTATGATTCCTTCTTAGGGTTGGCTTGCAACGATGTGGAGGAGGTCCCGAGTTCAATCCTCGGCCAGGCCCTTGCTTTTGCTCTGCGGGCCTCTGCTGCAATTTTGTTGCAAGGAGGAAGATATGTACTCTTCTCGACTGCAACATTACCACTCGTAGCAAACAAAGGCCCAATAGTCAGACCAGTGATATCTCTGCGCAAACCTCCGTACTCTATATCAAGCCATACAGTAACCTTCCGTTCCGATATATACAGCATCACGTCCCCACAGCATCACGACGTCGAACCAACACTCGTCGTCCTCAGTATACTCGCACCCTGCTTGAACCCAAGACTCCGCCGCTTCAACAACTTGTCGGTCGGTCTCCCAACCTCCCCAACACCAGCACCAACACCCATCCCCGTGACCCCACTACTGCCTTCGCCAATGGCACTCCGTTGTCCATCCGACCATTGCCACTCCTTCGATTTGCCTGTTTCGATTGTTGAGAACCTCCTCGACGTAGTGAAGCTCGCGGTCGTGCTCGTGCTGTCCGTAGAGAGCTGCGGTTTCAGTCCGGGTGCTTGTACGGTGTGCGTAGAGGAAGAGCCAAGGCCGCCTGCTGCCCAGCTGACTTCGATCCCGCGTTTGATTGACCAGAGCCAGGTTAACGCGAAGACCGGTGTGCTGACGAGGACGTTGAGGACAGGGAAGATGTCTGGAAGACGCGCTGGTGGCGGGACGAAGAATTCAAGGATGAGAAGGGTGATGCAAGCGGTATAAACAACCTGTGAGGCGACCTCGAATCAGCGCTACATATTGAGAGTGGTAGAGGACTTCACGAACCATGGCAAGATAGCTCAACAATGATCGAGTTCGACGAATTGGGTTGTAACCAATCAGACGGTTCCAGATGAGAAGCATGGCGAGAGACTGTGTTCCTAGTCCATCTCTCTTCAGCAGCGGCCACATACTGGAGGGGCGCAATCAGCATCAAGTGACGGACGTAGGTACAAACGATAGACACAAACCTGAACACAGCAACGTTGTTCACCAAAGCAGCCAGCTCGAAAGTCTCGGAATCATTGGCCGATCCGGAAAGAAGTAAAGTCAAAGGTAAAAGAGGGACCAAAATGGTTTTCTCGTGAACTTGGAACGAGAACAAAAAGAATGACATGGAGGATGTAAGGAGCGCATATGGGAGCAAGGGTAGGAACGGCGGTGGAGCGGAGACAGCGGTCTTAACGTCACTTGGCTTGACGTGGTCGCCTTGCGCGGTCAGCCTGTGCGTATATCCGCTGTATAGCAGGCCAACCACACCGGGGAGGAAACCAAGAGCAGTAAGGCCGGCAGAGAGCTTGACGAGAGCTTCCCGCGAAAACCAGACTTTCCACTTGAAGATAACGTTACTGGCACACCAGAAGTTGGCGACTTTGTCCTCGAACAGACCGCGGGCGAAGGGGAATATCCGGTTGATGGGTTGAATGATAGCTGTGGGTGATGCGAGGGGTAGTAGGAATGGGAGGAAAATGAGAGTGAAAGTAGCTATTGTGACGAGAGCGAGACGAATAAATAGTTGACGCCTAATAGCGCAACGATCAGTCATTTACGCGCGGACTCAGTCGCTCGTACACTCACCCTGCGACAGGACCGAGATACAAACATTTGGCAAGTAGATAAGAACCAATAGCAGGCGCATAGTACAAAGACATTTGTTTGAACCCTAAGCTGAGGGAGAAGCAAACTGCTCCCCAAACATCATGACCGCTCGCGAAGAAGTTCATGGCGAGGAGGGTGAAACCTGAGGACGAATCAGCAACAGGTTGAATGAACGTTACGCATAACCTACCAAGCATGACAGAGTTGTATTGAAAGTGGCCAAAATCAATCAGAAGGAGCGCAGGCTGTAATAGTAAGGAAAGTAGAGCTACATGCTGTAGTATTGTGTGATGAGTATGCTTCAGAAGATAAAATGGTGTGTCACATACCTGCGTTCGCGTCGAACGGCTCCCTTGCCATACCCTTGTAAACATGACAACCGCAAGCACATAGATCACAGCGTCGGAGAAGAGAACAGTAGATCGCATGTAGAGTTTACTGGAGTACGTTTCAATCCCCCTTGACTTGTCAAGGGCAAACCACGAGCTGTCAAGCCACGATCCGCTAAAATACGTAACGTTTTAGTTCGGCGTGCTAAAGAAAGCAGACTGAGTACGCACACAACACCGCACAGCCATGAATGGTATGCTGTGAGAGGTGGATAATCGAGACCCCAATATTCTAAGTCGTAGGTATACCATTGGTGGAGAGGAAGATGAATAGTCAATTCCATCCAGTGCCGCTGCGCCTCGTAATCACCGTACATGAGAGGAGTGTTGTGGCCTAGCAGACATTAATGGAAGGCTTGTGCAGACAACAGTCATGTTACTCACCTGAGTACGAGCCCAACCCGATGCACCACTTCACCCACGTCGAAATCAGAATCACGCTGGGCAGCACCCACTGCTTCATGCCTTGCTTGTGCATCCACCGCACCCATCTCCGCGACATGCTTCCTTCATGCTTGTCTTCGTCTGGCGGTCGTGCGCGTGTATGTGGTTGTGAGGCGTAGGGAAAGGACAGAGGTTGGTGTCCATCTTGCTCTAGGACAGAACTGAGTCTGGCGCGCTGGGGAAGGCGATACGCTCGAGGTGATGTTGTGGGATGAGCAGAGGGCGGTGATGCAGCTCGCGTCGACACGGGAGAAACGGAAGGAGAAGGCAGCCAATGTCGACTCTCATTTGCCTGCAAGTAGTGGTGCCGACGAGGTATGGGCGAGATGATTTCGCTCGTTTCGGAGGAGCTGAAGCAGCTTGCTCAGTGAGAAGGTGTGTGACTGCACCTGGAATATAAAACTCACATGCTGGCTTGGGAAGAGGTCCTATGGCGCAAATTGGGAGTCCTCACGCGTAAAGGAGGCAGATTGGACGTTTGAGAGAGGAAGGGGACGCCATTCTGGTTAGCAGCCTGCATGGCGGCGAAGTTGAGGGACTGAGCCCTGGCGTGGCTGCGATGTTTACGCGGTGAGCTGGTCGGGCTGGAAGCGGAGGCGTCTGCCAGCGCAAGGCCCGGATACATGTCTGCTCTGTCTTCCATCCGCCTCGTCTTGGTCTGCCAAGAAGCCGGTAGTGGGAAGATGGTTGGCGACTTCGTCGTTTGCAACAATCAAATGGCAATGGCAATGCGAACAATCAGCGGACCCGCTGCTGCAGGGTCGCTTGGTTTCTGCTCCATTTCGATAGTTAACTATTACGCTGACTACCATATGCGGAGAAAAAGAGCTATTTAGCCGCTTATCCATCATGTGATTGACGCGTAATTCGGCTAGCCGCTAATGTGGACGCGCAATCCGTCCGAAACTCCTCAACCTCCTACCACTACGTACTCACTTGTCAATCTCACATCTGCCCTCTATCTTCCCTATGGGGTTTATGCTTGCTGCGCGCCGACGACCTACCAACGTAATGCAAGCCCTGTCAGCGCGCAAAACTGCAATCGAAGCCGAGATCGAAGCCCAGCATGAAATCCTCAAGGCAAACAATGCCAACTTTTCTACCCCATTGGTCGATGCAGAGGGGTTCCCTCGCGCTGATCTAGACGTCTGGGCTGTACGGACAGCACGAGTGCGGATAATTGAGCTGCGAAATGACTATAAGGCGATACTGGATGACATTAGCAAGGAATTGCAGACTGTCTATGCGAGACAGGACGAAGAGGGGAGAGCTGAGGAAACGCAGAGCGAGGCGCAGTCTGAATCTACAGAAGATCCTTTTGCAAAGGTGGATGGTGTTGCGCCGGGGAGTCCTGCTTCCGTTGCAGTGAGCATCGACCGCAGTCAGAAGACGACACCATTGACTGACGTTCTTTCAATTCTCTAGGGTCTACAACGAGAAGACCTGATAGTTGCATTCGGGCACTTGACAAAGAGCTCTTTTTCCGCATCATCGTTGCAGCCGCTAGCGACTCTTGTATCAACACGAGAAGATGTGAGTAACCGTGTTGTGCACTGCAACCATATCCTGAACATGCTCGTCTTTGTAGCGAGAGATAAACATCAAAATCCTCCGTTCGAACGAGCTCAAGTCTCTTGTGCTCATACCAAAGAAAGGACCGACAGGGCGTGTAACATTAGGGTGCGTTCTCCACCGGTTTTGATCATCGACTAGATTCACAAGTAGAATCTCCAGATGTCATATTGTACCGTATGCTGCGTGATTCGCGTTTAGCATGCTATCAGTCGATGTGTATGATTATGTTCGGAAGAAACCAATCATAAGTGGATCCAAATCATATCTTACAAGTGCATGTCCTGTAACCCATCGATCCTACGAGTATCAAACCAAGACCTAAAGATGAGCGGAAATACTCTGTCCTACCACTTGCACCTTCCTAGGCACCACCGAAACCCGAGCCTGAACACTCTCCTCCCCAAACACAATCTTCCTATCCATCTCCTCCCGTCGACCCTTACCATCTCTCGCTTCGTCCATGACCTTCTTCACTTCCACAATGCTCTCCTTCAAGCCGCCTTCGTCTACCCAGCGCGCGAAGACTTCGAGGTCGGTTTGAGCGGAAGCTTCTCCTGTGGCCACAGCCCAGAGTGCGTGCTCGAGGAGATACAAGCTGGAGGTGATGTTGGAGAACAGGAAGAGTGCGGCACGAGGGAGAAGCGGGGACATGGGTGGTGTGTAGGCGGAGACGAGGAGATCGAGAGCGGAGCGGAGGGTTTGGATGGATGGGGAGAGGGTCGCTTGTAGGGAAGAGGGAATGCGTGCAACGAGGTTGTTCGCCCACTGTGTTCAGCGTTAGCGTGAGACGGTGCGAATCGATGTAGTATATGACGGACACACCTTCATGAAAGCGGGGAGAACCCCTGGCTTCGCGGTAGCGCGAGCCAGCTCGAGAGAGAGGACGACGATGGTGCCCTCCCAAATCTTCTCTACCAATGCATCCCTAAGGGCACTGTAAACGAAACTAAGTGAGTAAAAGCTTGAGCAGAACTGAAGACTAGTCTCGACGTACACTCCGAATCCAACCTCTTCCATGTAGCCT